TAGACTATAGGATTAATGCTATGAACTTTTCTTACTTTTTGTGCATGTCTGTACCCTTCTCCATTGCATGAAGACTGTACAACATCCTTTTAGGGTTCCATGTACTAAAAAGTGAATTTTCTGCATATTAAAAATTGACCAAGCATTTCTGGACAATGGGCGCTTCTGCATGTTGTCATTGTGAACTCCAAAGGTGCGTTTTGAAAACGTTACTGACGAAAGGCTGATCTCCGACTTATTGCCAAAGGAAATGACATCTGCGACAGAGTGTGTTTACAATAATCTTGCATTTGTTGCGTAGGCTACATACAATGCAATGGTTTTTGTGCCGTGGATAATATAATTTTGCTAAGAAATATGGAAATATGCATTAGAACAGAAATAAAAACGCTCCCCAAATGGGTTGAAATAGCAAAACAAACTTATATATGCTACAAAAAATCAGGTCAACTGAAACCCAAAGGTAGAACTTGAAGGGTTTAAATTGGGAAAATGTGCTTAAACTGCATTTCATGGTCCTTGTATTATTGAAATCTTTGTTTATCCTCAGACAACAAGGCCACCTTCTCAGATCTGGAGTGTGATTTTGATTTCAACGCTTTCTGTGCGTACAAAAACAACCCAAACAATGACTTTGACTGGCATCTCCATAGCGGTCCAATATCAGGCCCTGACACTGGGCCCGAAGCAGACCGTACCACAGGAGATCGTAAGTAAAAGAAGAGTACACTTATGGAAGTCAGGAGGGTCAACAGTCATCTTTTTACATTACTCTGATTTGGTACTTGAGTAGTAGAAACTGAGAAGATAGTTCCCCTCATGCTCCAAATTTTGTCTAAAAGTAGCATATATTAAAACTGAGAAATTTTTTATCAACCGTCAACTGTATTAGAATTCGCATTCTGTTTATTATTTCAGAAATTAGGGATTGCAAAACAGACGTTCGCTGTTTGAGTGACAGAAATATCTTGATGAAAATGATCTGTACCTAATGATGATTTTCAATTGAATTGTTATGTGCCGTCATCATTTTCTTGGTTTCATTGACAGCAAGCGGATTTTATATATACAGCGAGGCATCGAGACACCCTCGAGGTGATCAAGCTCGATTAGATGGCGTCAAGGCAACGGCACCTGCTACTGGTGCCTGTGTTAGATTTTGGTATTACATGTATGGGGGAGACGAGGGGACATTGACGGTGTACACAGGGGACGGCAAAGGGGGTCTTGGCCCTTCTCGTTGGTCCAGGAAAGGTGATTCTGGTGACTACTGGCTCGAGGCGTGGATTAATATTAATCCAGGAAGTGATTTTCAGGCAAGGACATACTCAGGATTTATTTCTACGAGTAGATATTTTCGTCAGATATGATCATCAAATCTACTTCTGATTTAAATTAGAAACGTAAATTTAGTTCATTTCAATAACGTCTATTTCAGTGAATAGGTTCAGTAAGAAACAACGTTGGACTAAAAAAAATAAAAGGAAGAAGTGATCAGTACACCTATTTCCAATATTGATCAAAACAAAAACTTAATTTTCTTATCTCGGTCTGGGTTGCCATCTTTTTCTATAGATTACTTTTGTTGGAGAAGGTGAATGGGGCTACGGTTGTGACTTGGCGATAGATGACATCGTCGTTCTGGAACGGGAGTGTGGTAGGA